GATTTCTGGAAAGACATTGCTGTTGAGTTTTTCAAATTACACCTGGTTCCATTATATTGGAGTGAAGGCAGACATCTCTATGGCCGATATCACCAAAACTCTGCAGACCACACCAAATAAATCTAGATGTATAAACTGCACTACAGGTAAGAAGAAAAGTATGTATTTTTGATTTTGCTGTGAACTGTCCCGTCAAATTGAATTTATCTTGACTAATAAAATCTTGTTTAACATCTAGGTCTTTATGGCCTCCTGCTTTCATTGCAAATGTGAGCAAATGTCTGACATATAGCAGAAAAAGAATTGCCATGACCATACTGATTTGTTAGTTTGCAGATGATACACTCATTTCCATCATAGAAGTTGTTCTCATGTACTTCAACCCTCACAGATTTACTGCCTGAAAGTCACCCTCGTCTTGTTTATCTCCTGCCCCACTCCCTGGGCTTTCTTTCCCACCACATCTTTCTCTTTTCTCTATCTCTGACATCACCCTCTTTGCAGCTCACCCCACATGTCTGAGCCACTCGTGCTTCATGAACAGCTTGGGAGTGAGAAGAGGCTTCAGTCAGTGAAAGTTCAAAAGCAGCCCACTCTCTGTCAAGTGGAAATCCACTGGAGAGATAATCCTTGCCTTCTTCATGCTGACTGAAACAGAAAATGCCAAGCAACTTTATAACAGTTCCTTCCCTTCTTGGAAGAATTATAGAATGCTCTGTTTAAGTCCTGAACAACACATGGTCATTCTGAACCATCACCTTCCTGAAAATGATGTGTGTTTGCAAAACATGTCAGGCAGTATTGCATGGCATTACTGTAATAGAAATCACCAAACATTTTTGATCTGCAAAATCATTTCCAAAATACTAAAATACAATTTTCTTTGCTGCCAATTAATTTGGAAACCACCACTGACCGCTTGTAGCAACAGTGTTTTAATTCTGTCTTGTCATGTGTTCATGTGTGGCTCAAGATCAACACCACCTTAAAGCTGCAGTAGGTAATTTATATCAAAATATTTTTGCCATAATTGCTGGAACTTTTTACTATATACTGACAGTAGTACATGAGACAGATAATCGGTGAAAAAAATCTAGTTCCTCTGGCCCCTCATGAAATTTGCAAGAATCCACTGGGCCTGGACGAAAAACAACCAATTGTGGCACTGGGTGTTTGTGAAGACAGTGTAATATTAGTCCCCCCCTAATTTTTTTGTGGTTATTTTCCGTGCTAAGAACAATATGGTCAGCAGAGGGCGCTCTGTGCATTCTACTATGGCATCAGTAGCAAACGCAAGTAGAAAAGAAGAAGTCGTCAGTACGTGATGAGTTAAGAGTAAGAATGCAAGCGAAGGAGAGCGCTTCTAAATAATATTGTGTTGTTATACTTCCAACAGGTAGGCTGTCCATAAACAGAAACTGGGTAATAGACAATAGTAATACAGTGGAGTAAAGCCTTGGTTTTAAAAACTGTAACATGTAGAGACAGTGAACTTGTTCGGGGCCGAGTGTGTGTGTGTGTGTGTGTGTGTGTGTGTGAGTGTGAGCGCATCGCCTCGTTTCTGTAATAATGGCGGGCGCTGATCGAGTCCACTAGCAAAGCTAAAAGCTAAAAGACTGTCTGGTACCATAATGGGTGTGAACCCAAGTAAGTCGAATGAAGGAACAGTTCGATATTGTAGAGTTATGTGTAAATAAATAATAAACTGTGTGGAGTGTGGCTGAGTTGAGGGAAGAGTAACAGCAGGAGTAGGAGCTAATGCTAATCGGAGCTAATCGTCAGTCATATTCCTAAACTGTGCTTATTAAGCTACTGAGTCTAAAATGTGTTTCAATAAGAGTTCATACAAGGGTCACTGTTGTTTTTTTATTGTCAATGCTGTTAGAGAGAATAACAATGACATATGCGTTCTGTATAAAATACTGTACTGTTAGATGTTAGCTCATATAACCATAATTCATGTGGATGTAAAAGTGCTAAAAAGACAAGTTAATATTGTTATACATGCTAGAGCTAAGTTAAACTCATACCATGTTTTCTGTATTGTTTTCAGGTAATTGCTGGATCTGTGTATATCTGAGTAGATGAGTAATTTACAGCTAATGTGCTTACATGTTACTTACCTGTTATTTCTGTGAACGAAAGAGGTGTAGTTGAGTATATGCCTTGGATATCCAGAAGGAGAAACACGTGTAACGAAAATGCAAAGTGGTATAGACAGTAATGTGTGTTCATGGCATTGTATATGACTTGTCAATGGCATTTGAATGTTGGCGTATTAGTTATATTTGGTAGTAGCAAATGCCAGTAGAAAAGAAGAAGTCGTTAGTGCGTGATGAGTTAAGAGTAAGAATGCAAGCGAAGGAGAGCGCTTCTAAATAATATTGTGTTGTTATACTTCCAACAGGAAAATAAATGTGTTGCACAAGAGTGGGCGTCAAGTCATTTTTGTACATGTAAAACAATCAGAGCCAAGAAAGATGATTGTTGAGTCTCAACAATCAACTATCTTCAAGTCGCCAACATAGGGAACCTAAAGTGTCTATATAGTGTTTATATCTTTTCAAAAAATAGGCCCAATTTATTGGCCCAGATAGATTTTATGCATACTCTAAAACTTTATTGGCCCTCTTTCACAAAAAAAGATTATTAAATCACAACATTAGATTATTTTTGATTCCAACCCAAATTTTGAGTTCCACATGAACTCACTTGCTTAGTCCTTTTTCTAACCAAAGAACAATGTAAAAATCAGTCCATTCAGCCTAAAGATTTGTAAAAGTCGTCCATGCTTTAGGCACATTATGTATCTAATGCCTTGTTCACCTACCTCAAACTCCATCTGTTTCGGCAGCAAAGCTTTAAACAAAAACTAAAAACAGATAACACTTTACACCCTGATAGAAAATTTATTTTACGTTTGACAAATAAGACATTGCATGGTAAATGGACCTCTATACATAAGAGATATGGCATGTCACCTGCAGAGGTGGACCTAGATAAATATTTATTGGGTGGCCAGACGGTGGCATGGAGACTTTAAGGGGTGGCAGAAATGTGTGCTTATTTAATAACAATCACATCATCAATATTTGCTTGGAAAAGCCCCCAAATAAAGATATTTGTACTGAAAAACATTACATTATTGTGTCACATTAGTAAAGCATTGAATAGAAATATCTAAAGGTGGCATTGGAAATCACTACATTGTTTTATTTCTAAATACTTGTTTTTTTCATAGAGCCCATCACTGAGTCTAAAATGTGGCCATAACTTGTGAAATCTGACAGCATTTGACATGAAACTGGGAAGGCGAGGCATTTTTAGGGGCAGCTATATATGTATGTATGTGTATATACAGACACGGCTCAGAATAGCCAGAAATCTCCACTTCAGTAGCATTTACATACACCAAACCTTTCCTCTATATTCTGAAGGGTTTTACAGAAGGCTTTGTTCATATATCCTCCATAGTTTGATTAATGTCATATTTTATTACAAAAAAATAGTCTATTTCTCTATTAAATCTATCTATTAAAACGGATACCTTAAATTGCCCTTGTAAAAACATTTGGCTTTGTCAACAAAACGAAACCTAGAGACATTTAGAACCTGACTTTATCCAGTGTTCAGGTTTTTGTTCTGCACATGTATGCTAATTTGCAAATATTTAATGGCATAATGCATATGTGCATATTTAAACATACAATTTCAGAAAACCTGGAATACAAAAAAAGAATTGTCTTAATGTAAGTAATCAACAAGGGAAGTTTTCATGGGGATATTTGTAAGGTAAAATGTTAATGTTACCTTATTACCTGTAGTTTAAAATCAAATCAACACAATTACCATACCATACATACATACATACATACATACATACATACATACATACACAATTTCCCTCATCTTATCTTTTTTACGCACTTCTGTCTTTCCCTCTCTTGCTCCTTCACTTGTAGCGAAACACATACACAAGCACTTGCATGTCCATTTGTGTGTGTGTTTCCTCAGTTTCACAGCCAGAGCCCAGTCCCGCAGGAGTGCTGCTTCATCAAGTCTGGTAGTGGGTAGTAAAGGGCATCATCATTAGATTAGTCTCTGATCACTCTCCCTAAGTAATTATCCTCCTGCCCAGGCTCCTGCAGCATGCAGACTTAATTGATTTAATGGAGTGTGTTCTCTCTCTTCATGTCTCTGTCTCACTTCTCCTTTTTTTCTCCCGCTCCTTCAAGAGCACATTTCCTCCCATCAGAGTTTAGGATTCAATTTCAGACTCAATGAGGTGAAAGGGCCCTGCACTCGAAAATGGATTCCGGGATGAATTCTTTTGTCTTTTTTTTTTTTTTATCCTTGTAACATGGCCACATCCCATCAACTTTTAAATTTTTGGTTGTGCAATATGATGTCAAGGCCAAACTGTGTGAGACTGGGAAAGTGGAACTACAAAAACACACCATCCACGATATTATATTGTTACAGAGTGATGCTTATTTCACTTCAAAAATGTAATGATGGTATGGACTCTTAGTAATTGCAGAGAGCTCATGAACCAAAAATGTAATTTTGACCTTTTGTAACATAACTCAGTTAGATGAAGTTAATACAATTTACAGCCAGAGAAGTTTGTCATTTAAAATTATTAGTGCGCTTACCCTAAGATTCTAATGTTCAAATGTGGTAATGTGCTGGTGTTCGCTGCCAAACACACCGTTCCCCTTGTCAGACTGAGTCAAAGTATATCAGATGTCAGAAATTATAAGATTTATTTTGCATACATTTAAATATTTGGATTAGGAATGTCAACTTTTAACCACCAAGAATATGTTTTACCAGTTACACATCTAATTTATAGGTTAATTCATTCACGGCTTCACTAGCTAGCAGTCTGTGGGACCATTTCTTCCAGAGAGGAAACAAACTTGAATGTAAATTATGTGCTGCTACTCTTCAGTGTAGTAGTAGTAGTACTATTCTGTACCACATTAAGAACAATTAAATTCAGTTCAATTCAATTTTATTTGTATAGAGCCAATTCATAACAGAAGTTATCTCAGGACACTTTTCAAATAGAGTAGGTCTAGACCGAACTCTTTATAACATCATTTACAGAGACCCAACAGTACCACCATGAGCAAGACCTTGGCGACAAGGGCAAGGAAAAACTGCCTGTTAAAAGGCAGAAACCTAGGACAGATCCTCCGGCTCTAGGTGGGTGGTCGTCTGTCTCGACCAGTTGGGGTGAGAGAGAGAGAGAGAGAGAGAGAGAGAGAGAGAGAGAGAGAGAGAGAGAAACAGACAGACAGACAGACAGACAGACAGACAGACAGACAGACAGGTGCACAGTAACAACAGTATTGGCAATGGCAATCTAGCGGGACCATGGCAGGAGGCTCCACCAGGATCAATAAGAACCTGGGAGACGAGAAAGCACAAGAACTCCGGGGAAGAAGTGGAGTTAGTAACATGCATTAATGGGACATAAATGAGTGCAGAAAGAGAGAGGAAGAGAGGAGCTCAGTGCACCATGGGTCTAGGCCTATAGCAGCATAACTAAGGGATGGTTCAGGACTCACCTGATCCAGACCTAACTATAAGCTTTATCAAAGAGGAATGTCTTAAGCCCACTCTTGAATGTGGAGAGGGTGTCTGCCTCCCGAACCACAACTGGAAGCTGGTTCCACAGGAGAGGAGCTTGGTAACTGAAGGCTCTGGCTCCTGTTCTACTTTTAGAGACTATAGGAACCACAAGTAGCCCAGCATTCAGAGAATGTAGTGTTCTAGAGGAGTAATAGGGTACTATGAGCTCTTTAAGATATGAAGGGGCCTGACCATGAAGAGCTTTATAGGTGAGGAGGAGGATCTTAAATTCTATTCTACATTTTACAGGGAGCCAGTGCAGAGAAGCTAGTACAGGAGAGATGTGATCTCTTTTTCTAGTTCCTGTCAGTACTCGTGCTGCAGCGTTTTGAATTAATTGGAGCGTTTTAATGGACTTATTGGGGCAACCTGATAATAAAGAGTTGCAGTAATCCAGCCTTGAAGTAACAAATGCATGGATTAGTTTTTCTGCATCTGTCTGTGATAGGATGTGTCTAATTTTTGTAATATTGCGTAAATGAAAGTAGGCAGTCCTAGAGGTTTGCTTTATGTGGGAGTTAAATGACAAATCCTGATCAAAGATAACTCCAAGATTCCTGACAATAGTGCTAGAGGCCAAGGTAATGCCATCTAGAGTAACTATATCTTTAGACAGTGAGTTTAACATCAGAAAATTGCTGCTCATCCAGGATTTTATGTCCTTAAAACATGTTTGTAATTTAGATAATTGATTAATTTCATCGGGCTTGATCGATAGATATAACTGCGTATCATCTGCATAACAGTGAAAGTTAATGGAGTGATTCCTAATAATGTTGCCTAAAGGGAGCATATATAAAGTAAATAGTATTGGTCCAAGTACAGAACCTTGTGGAAATCCATGACTAACTGTAGTACTTATTGAAGATTCATCGTTAACATGTACAAACTGTGAATAATCTGATAAATATGACTTAAACCAGCTTAGTGCGGTTCCTTTAATGCCAATTTGATGCTCAGGTCTCTGTAAAAGAATAACATGGTCAATGGTGTCAATTGCAGCACTAAGATCTAATAATACAAGTACAGAGACAAGTCCATTGTCAGAAGCAGTCAGAAGGTCATTATTAACTTTAACCAGAGCTGTCTCTATGCTATGATAAACTCTAAATCCTGACTGAAAATCCTCAAATAAACTATTGTTATGTAGAAAGTCACACAACTCTTTGGCAACTACTTTCTCCAGAATCTTAGAGAGGAAGGGGAGGTTAGAGAGTGGGCTTTTTAAGAAGGGGTTTAATTACAGCGACTTTAAAGGACTGTGGTACATATCCTGATAATAAAGAAAGATTAATCATATCCAGTAAAGAAGTGCCAATTAAGGGAACAACTTCTTTAAGCAGCCTAGTTGGGATCGGGTCTAATAGACAGGTTGATGGCTACGATGAAGAAATGATTGAAGTGAACTGATGAAGATCAATAGCAGAAAAACAGTCTAATTATATATCTAAGTTTACATTAGTAAAAGTCCCTGAACTTGGAGAGCCACTGATAACTGTTGATGGCAGTTGGTGATTAATTTTTTCTCTAATAGTAATAATTTTATTATAAAAGAAGCTCATGAAGTCATTGCTACTTAAGGTTATGGGGATATGTGGCTCAATAGAGCTGTGACTCTCTGTCAGCCTGGCTACAGTGCTGAAGAGGAACCTAGGGTTATTCTTATTTTCTTCTATTAGTGCTGAGTAATAGGCTCCTCTGGCATTACGGAGGGCCTTTCTATAAGTTTTAAGATTATCTTGCCAAATTGAGCGATATTCTAATAATTTGGAAGAGCACCATTTCCTTTCAGATTTCCTAGCTTTTTGCTTTAACTGGCGGGTTTGGTGGTTGTACCATGGTGCTAGTCTCCTATGTTTTAATAATTTCCTTTTTTTAGGAGCGATAGAGTCTAATGTTGATCGTAGTGAGCCTGTAGCACTATCGACAAGATTAGCAATTTCAGAGGGACTAAAGCACCCAGCTGCCATGTTCAAGGATGGCTCGCAGCCAAAGATCACGTCACCGCTAGCCATGGGGAAAAAGATGCACGATGGTCCTATAAGTGGTCAGTCAGTAAGGGATTCAAAGAACTAACGTTACTCAGCTCAAGCCCGAGTATGTTATGCCATTGAGCTACTGTGACCAACTTAAACACAGTGACATTAGTAAATTAGATCATTAGAGTTACGATTAACTAGCCAGAGCAGACAAGCTGCTATTGCTCAAAGGCAGAGCGGGTCATCCACTAATCGGAAGGTTGTTGGTTCGATCCCCGGCCCCTCCCGCCACGTGTCGAAGTATCCTTGAGCAAGATACTGAACCCCAAATTGCTCCTGATGCCGTGCATCGGTGTGTGAATGTGTATGAATGAGTTAGTTTCTGTTCGATGGGCTTTGCCATCACTGAGTGAATGTGTGTGAAAGGGTGAATGTGGCACGTAGTGTAAAAGCGCTTTGAGTGGTCAAGTATAGTTCCATTTACCATTATCAAGCTAGCTCTTACTACCAACTACTAGACAGTGACAGCTCTCACAAATGAAAGCTACAAAGGTCCAGTGTGCTCCTCACTGACAGCCTCTCCATCTGGCACATGTCAGATAACTTTGTCCAGAAGATGACTAGTGAGGTGGAGACATGGGGCCTCAACCTGGCCCCCCAGCTGGAAATACAGACAATTCAACGTTTACAACTCATGCAGAGCTCTCAGTTGGCTACACTTTGGCTACACGTCTGCCGTGGCAGATCTGCAGATGTGTGTGATGATCTGTGTGTGAGGAGAGATTTGTCTGTGTGCCTCAGTAGCTGTACAGCCTACAGACCACCAGTTGGCGGTACCATGACATTGTTGTGCTGTGTATTGTTTTTAAACCTACTTTAGAATTAATTATATGGGTCAAAAAAGTATTTGGAAAAACGCTAGATGAAAAATGCCAATGTTTCTGGGGGCCGGGACAAAAACACAACTTTAAACTTTATTCAGTGATTTGGTGAAAGTGGATGATATTTCATGGAAAAATGATTATCTGGTTTTCCCTCTGATGTCCTCCGGCTGCTCTCTGCCTCATCTTTCAGTGATTTGTTTAACTGTGGCTGGGTAGTGTAGCTATTTGAACACTGTGAATACAGATGGCTGGAGACCAAGAAGCAGAGGTGGGTTTCTCGCCGTAACCCCCACTCAGGCCTTCAGAGGTGGGCACTGATGCCCAACCTCCCTCTCACTCCTCTCTGCTTCATGTCTCTCCTGTCTCCCCCGCCTGAACCCCCAGACCGGCTGTAAACCACCTCGGTACTGTACTCCCTGTTGTCAACTGTCTCCATCAGTCTCAGAGGCTGTTTGGTCCCAGTACATGTTCATTTCCCAAGCTACTGTAAGTTCCTTATGCCCTCAAGGCTTTTGTCAGACAGAAGTGGGCGTGGCTATTGAGGCACACAGACAAATCTCTCCGCACACACAATTCGCCACACACATTTTTAGATCTGCCACGGCAGTGTAGTAAAAGCCACGTGTAACAAGAGCCAATTGAGAGTCCCACCTGGGTTGTAACCACAAGCATGAATTGTCAGTATTTCCAGCTCTTCAAATCGTTAGACTTCTCAGTCATTAATATGTCTGCATTTACAGATTTGCCCACACATTTTTCAGATTCCTCTTCATGGAACAGGAGGTAGAAGTGAGGATGTTGCAATCTCCAACTACACTGCCAGATGCCACTAAATCTTACACAGTGGACTTTTAATGGGTGTTGGGCCTTCGAAAGCTAAATTAACCAAAACTGACCTCCCTAGTTTGGATATGGGAAGGATATCAAGTCATTCTATAGTCCAAGTTAAGTCACTTGTATTAAAGTCAGGTTGCAAGTCTCTTTTGATGAAGTCAAGTATAAAGTCACAGAGTGAGTGGTTAGCCCTGGGTTTTGGGTTTGGCTGGGCTGCTTGACCTTTCTGCGTGGAGCGCATGTTCTCCCTGTACCTGTGTGAGTGTTCTCTGGGTGCTCCAGCTTCCTCCCACAGTCCAAAGACATGCAGTTGGCAAATCTAGAATACCCGTAGGTGTGAATGTGAGCAGGAAGGGTTGTCTGTCTCCAGGGTGTCCAGTCGCTCCTGCAGTCCTCCAAAAGATCAGACGGTATAGCCTATGATAGATGGAGTGTAAAGTCATCAGATTCATGACTCAGCCGGACATGACTTGAAGGATAGTTACTCCAGTCCACACCGTTGGTAAATATACTTTATATATAATAATATACTTTTTTGAGGGTGTGTGTTGTGTGAAGACAGTATGATACGTAAGGCTAAATATTGTCAGGAATGGACCAGATTTGGGTCCCCATTGTAAGCACAGCCTTCTGAGAAAATGAAATACATTTAAAAGCGATAAGCCTTGTGCTACAGTCTGTAGGAGGGTTAATGAGGTGCTCAGAGGTGTTAAAAGGCACTCTGGGGTTGCCTATGTTAACATTTATATTTTTAGAAAAATAAAATTACCCAGCAGTCCGGATTGCTTCATTATACATTTTGAATTTTCCTGATAAAATCCCATTAGGCACTTCCATCTGCACTCCAAGA